ACCAGCGTTTCGCTCGAGACATCCTCCACAAACTATGTAAAATAAGCGTTTCGCTCGAGACATCCTGCCAAAGTTCTAAGAAATCCTGACAAAACAAGCGAATTAGTCGAGACATCCTCGAAATTCCTGCGCGCGGGACGCGGCACGCGCGAGACATCCTCGGAATTCCTGCGCGCGGGGCGCTTTTCCGAGTCGCGGTCGGGGCTCCAGACCCCGTTATTTTTCGAGGATTCTGCGAAAAACGCTCCGCACCCTCTTTTTTACGAGGGAAAGCGGGGGTCTGCGGACCCCGTTATTTATCGAGGATCCGAGATGGGGGGCGAACTTTCCTCGAGCGGGCACGCACAAAACGCACTTTTTCTAAAAAAAATCAGCACTTTACCTCGTTATTTATCGCAAATAATTTCGCCGGCGCTTGACCCGTCAGATCCGGGGGTAAACGGCTAAAAGAGAACCCTGGGCCCGCGCCCTTTCCGGGAAGAGAACCCTGGGCCCGCGCCCTTTCCGGGAAAAACGACACGAAACGACAACGAGAAACGAAACGAAAACAACACAAAGGGCCCGAACCAAGCTAAACAGCGCTGTGGTCGGTCCTTGCTCAAAGTGTACGCCTCCCTGGCTTGGTCAGGGACGCACATACACGCCGCGCCCGCGCCCAGGACGGGCCGGGCTGGGCGCTGGACTTGCACACAGATCTCGTCACCAGATCCGTGTGAGCCCTCGACGGTGGGGCCTCCGGGCTGAGGTCGCCCAACTTGGACCCCAAATGGAGCCGGATGCAGCGATAGCCGGCGAGGTTGAGCCGAATTGACCGGGACTCTGCCGAGTCAGGCCAGTTCGGGACCGTGGATCTACAAGTTGTGCCAGCGCTGAAGTGGACCAGGATTTGCATTCTGGCGCAGGGGGCGGCCCTGGGTCAGACACAGGGCGAGCACCAGGAAGAAGAGGCGTGCGGTCAGAGTTCTGAAATCCAGAACTCGGATGAGGCCGCTGTTGGGCCTCAGTTGAGCCCGCATGCGCAAAAAGCGCTCGGAGGGGGGGACCCATGAAAGGACCTCGGGAACAGCGAGCCCTGTCGAAACCCAAGTGGGCTGCATCCCGACACTCTGACTACACAACCACAGTGGCGATCATGCCGTGATCGTGGCATGTCCCAGCCGCGCAATCTGAAGAGCTTCGTTTTGGGTGGGCCATCACGAGCATCTGGGACGGGCTGATGGTCCAGGGCTCCGCCCAACCCCCTCCTCCTCCACTCATGCGGTCGTGGCGCTTCGGGCGAGGCGTGGTCGCTGTCGTCTCCTCGTCGTCATCGTCATCGTCGTCGTCGTCGTCATCGTCGTTGTCGCCGTCGTCGTCGTCGTCGTTGTCGCCGTCGTCGTCCTCGCCGCCGTCCTCGTCATGGCCCTCGTCATGGCCATCGTCCTCCTCTTCCGTCGCCCTCGTTGGTCCGAGGGGTCGCCAATCTCGCGCGACCTGTCCGACGTCGTCCACTGCCCCCCCGTGCCGAGGGAGTCGGACGCCCAGGCGGGGGAAGCGAGGAGAGAGGTCAGAGAGAGAGCCCGCTCTCCGATGGATCTGCGACGCGGGCCCCGGGCGGGCCCCTGGGCCTGGGCCCTCGGGGTCGCTCGGGGGCCTCGCGGCCCGCTGTGCAAGTCGTGACGCTCCGAGCGGTGCTCTGAACGCAGGTCGTCGGTGCAACGTCGCGGCCTGCTGTGCTGCGCTACGCTGCGCTACGCTGCGCAACGCGATGTAGCACTGTGCAACGCATTGCTGTGCATGCTGTGGTGTCCTGCTCCGTGCCATGCTGCGCAAACGTGTGTGTGATGCTCTGCAACGCTGCGCTGCGCTACCGCATGTTTATACGAAGCTCTGTGTTTAGCGCCATGGGCCGAGGCGCTAACCATGTACACAGCGTACTTTGGTGGCGCCATGGCGTCATCTTGCGTTGGCCATGGCGTCATGTCGCCATCTCGGTAAACATGTTCGGCGCCATGGCGGCCAGGCGCCATCTTGCGTTGCCCAGTGCCCATGGCCAACGTAACATATCATATCGGACGATCTGCAGGGGTGAGGTCTTGGTGATGGCGACACGAGAGGAGACACATTACGCGCCCAGGTAACATCTGAGACATACCAGGCGACTGCTCAGGGGTCATCCTCGAACACATTGGCTGCAAGCGCATGCTCTGATTCAATCGCTTCAACTTTTCGCGACCATCCTGTGGTGTTGGGTCCTCGTTTTGAAAAGACAGCGCCCTGCGTCTCCTTCCTCCTCTCCTCCTCCGCCTCCTCCCATCCTTGCCTCTGGCCCCAGAGTGAACTCGGCACACCCCTCACACGTTTCGTGCCACCATAAGGAGCTCCACCGAAGGCCTTGGTGGTACAGTCCACATGCGTCCCCCCGCCCGATTTGGCCACACCTCTCACACGCTTCGTGGCCCGATAGGGAGCTCCACCGAAGGTCCCAGTGGCACAATCCACATGCGTCCCCCAGCACGTGTTCGGCACACCCCATCACACGTTTCGTGCCCCCCATTGGGAGCTCCACCGAATGCCGTCGTGGCACAGTCCATATGCATCCCCCAGCCCCATTTCGGCACACCCCTCACACGTTTCGTGCCACCGTAAGGAGCTCCATCGAAGGCCGCAGTGGCACATTCCACACGCGCCCCCCCTCATTTCTGCACATCTCTCACACGTTTCATGCTCCCATTGGGGGATCCACCGAAGATCCCAGTAGCACAATCCACATGCGTCCTCCGCTCCATTGCGGCACCGCCTCTCACACGCTTCGTGGCCTCTTAGGGGGCCCCACCGAAAGCCCCAGTGACACGGTCCACATGCGTCCCCCCCGCCCCATGTCGGCACGGCCCATCACACGTTTCGTGCCCCATTGGGAGCTCCACCGAAGATCCCAATTGCACAGTCCACATGCGCCCCCCCGCCTCATGTCGGCACAACCCACACACGTTTCGTGCCGCCTTCGGGGTATCCACCGAAGACCCCAGTGGCAAGGTTCACATATGTCCCCCCGCCCTATTTCGGCACACCGCTCAGACACTTTGCGGCCACAAAGGGGGCTCCACCGAAGACCCCAGTGGCAGGGTCCACGCGCGTCCCTCCGCCACATTTCGGCATACCCATCACACGTTTCGTGGCCCCAGAAGGCATTCCACCGAAGGCCCCAGTGGCAAGGTCCGCGTGCGTCCCCCCGCCCCATGTCGGCTCTCGCCCAATTTCGTCACACCGCTCACACGTTGTGTGCCCCCATAGGGAGCCCCACCGAAGGCCCTAGTGGCACAATCCACATGCGTCCTCCCCCGCCCGGTTTCGGCACACCCCTCGAACCGCCCCCATACGGGGGATCCACTGAAGGCCCCAATGGCACAATCCACATGCGCCCCCACGCCCCACTCCGGCACACTCCTCACACGATTCGTGCCCCTAGAAGGGGATCCACCGAAGGCAGCAGTAGCACAGTCCATATGCACCCCCCAGCCCCACTTCGGCACACCCCTCACACGTTTCGTGCCCCCATTGGGAGCTCCACCGAAGGCCCCAGTAGGCCCCAGTGGCAGGGTCCATTTGCGCTCTCCGCCCGGTCTTGGCCCACTCCTCACACGCTTCGTGGCCACATAGGGAGCTCCACCGAAGGTTCCAGCGTCAGAGGGTCCGCATGCGTCCCCCCACCCGATTTCGGTGCACCCATGACACGCTTCGTGGCCCCCCAGGGAGCTTCGGTGGGAGGGTCCACATGCGCCCCTTCCGCCCCATTTCGGCACACCTCTCACACGCTTCGAGGCTCCATAGGGAGCGCCACCGAAGGCGACTCTCACAACTGAGTCCTTCACAACTGCATATGGTTGGGTCCTTCACCAAGCTAGCTTATTCCGATCATGATACGCGTCGGCGTTGTTCGCAACTGTGGGCACGAAGGTATGGGGCTCCAACCAAAAAAAGGCTCGTTCCCCCGACATGCCGACCGCAACATTTTCAAGAGCTGGATCGACCGAGAGGGCATCCGAAACGGCGCATGGGTCGGATCGGTCTCAAGCATGTCGGTCCCGGATGCTCTGCAACCGAGCTCTTGGGATGCCTGGGCGCATGTTTGGATGCCTGGGAGCCGAAACGCCGACCGCAACATTTCGACACTGAACTCGATCGACCGAGATTTCAGCCTGCGCCCATACGCAATTCCGCTGTGTGCCTTTTTACGTTGAGCTGACTTTGCCCAGCGGAGGCGCAGCGTCTGAAGACGTCGACCGGCGAATACAAATCGTTACCCTTCTTCGACGTGCGTGTGCGAACGGAAAGCTCGATGCGGATTTCTTAGATACGCGCTGGAGCCCCCTGGCGGCGCTTCCGGCGCCACCCCTGGCGCGCTCCGCGCGCCCGCGAAGATCCAAGACATCCGCGCGGAGCGCCGACGGTTTATGTTTATGGCGTGTTTTCTTCTCCGATCCAAGCCTCGCGGTGAGCCGTTCCCCCTGAACGCATGAAAACCGCCCCCCCGCCCCCTAGACCAACTAGACCGCCCGCGCGGTTCCCCCCCCCCCCCCCCCCCCTGCGGCAGCTGGCAAGGGCCTTGCTACTTGCTAGCCGGGCGCCTACACTTACGCACATTCGCCATGGTTGCGAAACGCTGGCGTGTAAACTCCGTCGCCGTGCCATGGAGGCTGAGGTTGGCTTCCCGCCCTCCCGCCGCCCGTTCGCCGTGCTTGCGCGTCCAACAGAACAACCAGTACTCAACAGCGCCAGACTCCGACACGGCGCACATGCGCTCAACAGCCCCCGTCTCCAGCGCTGCGGCCAGGACTCCACAGCATCCCGCTGCGAGAGAGAACCCCTAGGAGTGCTGCTCAAACCCCCGGCTGGACGCGCGCCCAGGGGAGGAGGAGGAGGAGGAGGAGGAGGAGGAGGAGGAGGAGGAGGAGGAGGAGGAGGAGGATGAGGAGGAGGAGGAGGAGGAGTTCTGCTCGACTCCCCTCCCTCGCAGGGGCCTGCTCCTGCATCGGGCTCCTCCCTCCCGTCAGCAGGCCGGCGCCGGGCACCCGCTGGCGGAGGCCATCCCGCGCGGCCGCCCGCCGCGGGGGGCCTCGGCGGGCACCGCGCCCGGGCCGCTGCCACAGAGGGCGGGGGCCCAGAGGGGCGCGCGAGCAAGCGCGCACAGGTGCGGGGATCCCCACTCCTTCCCCACGTTCGCTGGAGCTTCGCCTCCTCCCCCACCGCCCATGGCCTCCAGTCGTTTCTCTGTGGGAGGGTCGACGATTCGTTGCGTCTGTGTGTGTGTGTGTGTTTCTTTCCCTCCTGGGCAAGGGGTACTCACCAGAACGAGGAGCGGAGCCCCGCGGCTGCCCCCCCCCCCTCAAAAAAAACCGCCCGGGATGGCCCGAGGAGCGCTGGAGGGGCCACCGCGGGAGGGCCCGCAGTCCGACCCGGGCCAGGAGAACATCCTTCCCCAAACACGATGGCGTCGTAAAGAAAAATCAGGACGGCAAATTTTTCACAATCTTCGGCCCTTTGGGGCCCTCGCCGGGCCCCAAGACCGTCAAAAACAGCATGAGACCCTCCGCCGGCCAAAGCACACCTGAACCCTGAGATCGTTCGAGGGTGCCCTCCCCCAGGCTGCACGAGAACCGCCAGCAAACACGAAGAACATCACTATACCATCACCGAACCGTCCTCGATCTTACACTTCGGTCAGACTGTATGAGAAGAGCCTGGCTGTGCCATGTTACAGCGTCTTGGCTGTGACCTCGGTGACCCCCCCGCGCGGTGGCGCTGAATCTCCGGCAAGCGCTTGGGCCATCAGGGCAACGTCGGGTGACGCGATAGTGTCGCTATGGTGCAACAGTGCTTGCTGTCTGTTGAAGACGCGCAACTGACGCTTGGAACGATGATTGAACTGAAGGGGTGACTTGCTCTGCGCGATGCCTGCAGACTCAGACGCGCCCCCAGCAGCGCAACTGGTGGCCAGTTACCGAATGCACTAATCTATCTTGCAGCAGCCGCTCATTAGATGTCGACGCCTTTGCCCTTTGTCACTACGACACGCGTTGGAGGCAGCCTGGCCGAAAACATTGTCCATTTCGGACGCCAAACTTGTGCGCTGCCGAAACACAACTTTAATGGCACATTGCGGCAGGCTGCCGAAATAGCTGTTATGCCATTGAACTTCTTGGCGCTGCTGCCAAAGCCCAAACATCCCTTGCCCCACCATGACGAGAGTTGTCTCGCCTTCGGCAACAGCATTGTTGCATGCTGCCAGAACCGACCGTTCTGTCAGATCCTGAGCATCTCGTTTCCAAGCCTTTCGCTGCGAGCCTGTTATCGCCAACACAAGCGAAAAGAGACAACAAGAACTTTTACGTAGATCCTCTCTCTTCCCTTCTTCCCTGCTTCTCTCTGTCCGTCACCTCCTTCCTCCTCCTCTTCCTTCTCCTCCTCCTCCTCGTCCTCTTCATCTCCGTTGCCCCCCTTACTACCAATCTCTGCCTCCTCCGATCCCCCCCTCCTCGCTCCCCCCTTTCGCCTCCTCGTGCCCTGCCTTTCCCTCCCGCTCCCCTCAGCATCGACTCCTGAACGTCTCCGCGGGCGCGTGACCCCCGAAGGCTTCCGTGGCGGACCCGGCCGCGGCGACGACGGCACCCCCCAGCAGGCCAACACAAAAAATGTCGGATAACGTGAACATCATATGTCTCGATCCTCCTCCCCGGTCCTGCTCCTCCTTCTCCTCCCCCTTCTCCTGCTGGCCCCTCCCCTCCTCCTCCTCCTCCTCCCCCTCCCCCTCCCTCCTCCCTCCTCCTCCTCCTCCTCCTCCTCCTCCTCCCTCCTCCTCCTCCTCCTCTTCCTCCTCCTCCTCCTCCTCCTCCTCCTCCTCCTCCTCCTCCTCCTCCTCCTCTCCCCTGGGCGTTTGCTGTCTGGCGGCCGCGTCCACGGCAGCACTCAGGACGGCGTTCCACTGCCGCGTGCTCTGCTCGAGTCCTCCCCGCAGGAGATCGCGGGCGCGCCAGACAGACGACGGGGGAGCGCGATCCTGCATATCATTTCTAAACTTTTGGGGGATAACGCATGCTACCCGGAGGAGGGGGGCGTGGGGGGGGGGGATAACGGTAACTGGGGCCGCGGCGCGCACCCCCTGAGGCGCGCCGCCTCCGTCGTCGTCGTCGTCGTCGTCGTCGTCGTCGTCGTCGTCGTCGTCGTCGCCGCCCAAGCCCACAGCGCTTGTGCACACAGCACGGGCTCTGTACAATGCCTTTGTGCACCAGGGCTGCTACAGAAATCGTATTTGTGTGCACCACGGCGATTGTGTATACCACAACAGCCGCGTGCACCACGACGCCTCTGTACATCGCGCGATCTGCGGACGCCACGGCGCCTGCGCGCACCACAGCCGCTGTTTCAGCACCCGCTGTGCACCACAACGCCTGCGCACACCGCGAAATTCGTGTACGCCTGAAGGCAATACCGACGGGGCCAAGCTCCGGAAAATCGTCGGGGGCCCGAACGTACCAAATTCAACATGTACCTTATTTGTGATTCTTGAAATTTCTGGCCCGGGGTACGGTCCCCCGTTTCTGGCCGACCATGTTTGCGTACACCACGGCGCCTGTCTAGCGTGCGCCACAGCGCCTGTCTAGCGTGCGCCACGACGCCTTTGTAACCACAGCTGCTTGTGTACATCGCAGCGCCTGTCTAAACAATAGTGCCTGTGTACACCACAATGCCTGTGTGGACAACCTTCGTGTGCACCATAACGCCTGTGTGCACTGCGGTGCTTGTGCGCACCACAAGAACCGCGTGCAGCCCGAACATATCATTTTCAAAATGAAAGTTTTCTGTGATTATTGATTTTTCTGGCCCGGGGTGCGGTACCGTCGATTTTGGCAGAACGTTTTTGTGTACACCACAGCGCTTGTCTAGCGTGCGCCACGACGCCTTTCCATACCAAGGCTGCTTGTGTACATCGCAGCGCCTGTCTACACAACAACGCCTGTGTACAACACAATGCCTGTGTACACCACAACACTCGTGTGCACCGCAGCGCCTGTGTGCACCACACAGACTGCCTGTGAACACGACGACGCCTATGTGCACCACGGTTGCTGCTTCAGCACCATACTCGTGCACCACAGCTCCGGTGCACCAAACTGCGTGCGTACACCACAGAACTGCGTACACTTCCAAGGCCCCCGGCAGGACCGAACTCTAGAAAATCGTGGAGAATCCGAACGAGTCAAATCCAATATGTAAACTATTTGTGATTATTGAATTTTCTTGCGCAGGGAACGGTCCCGTCTTTTGGGCCCACAGCGCCTGTGTACACCGTCGCGAATGTGTGCACAGCAGCGGATGTGTACACAGCAGCGCCTGTGTACACCACAAGTTGTGGCACACCCCCATGACAGTGCACCACAGTGCTCCTGAATACCACCATGCCTGCGATGCCTGCGTGCATGATAACTGATGTTCTGATGTGGCAGCAGCAGTTGTACACACCACAAAGCCTGTCTTTACCATATTGCCTCGGTGCATCACGATGCCCGCGTGCACCGCGCGACCTGCGTGCACCTATGCTTGCGAGCACCACAACGCCTGCATACACAACAGACCTTGCTGCAAAAGCAGCAAATGAGCGCACAAACTCGCATCGCTGCCCGTGCACAACGCAATGCCTGTGTACGCGCTGCTAACGTGCACGTCCAAATGCCTATGGAAGACGTCGGTCGTCGTCGTCGTCGTCGTCGTCGTCGTCGTCGTCGTCGTCGTCGTCGTCGTCGTTCGTCGTCATCTATCGTCATTTATCGTCGTCCATCGTCGTCTGTCGTTTGTCGTTTGTCGTCTGTCGTCGTCGTCGCTGTCGTCGCCCCATGCCACTCCAAGCCCCAACGTTTTGCCAACGTGCATCCAAACACTAGCATACTGTGGCGAACGCCACCACGCCGTTGAACACAGCGTTCCCTGCAAGCTCCCTGCGCCCCCCCCCCGGACCTGCACAACCGGCTAGGTTCGGTTAACCTGGGGCGGGGGGGGGGGGGGCGAGCCCGATACCCCGGGTTATCGCCGGACCCTAACAAAAACCAATCTCCTGCGTGCACCATAGTGCACGCCCGCGTGCACAAAAGACCCTATAGGGTGCCCGGGATCGCGCACTGGATCGGGGCCGGGCCGTTACCGCTATGGGGGTGGGTAGGGGAGGGGAGGGGTAACATGCGTTATCCCTTGGGTGGAAAAAATGGTCCCCTGGCACTCCCACGAGCGACGAACATATGCATGCCCATGCCCTCGCGATCTAGCTGCCGAAGCGCGATGCCACGGATACGCGATCCCATGGATACGTTTCGCGCGGGGCATCTGCGCAAAGCAACCCTGCACCCAAGGGGCCGCTGCCGAGGAGTCCGGACGGCGAGGCCATAGATGAAGACATGTTTCCCGCCAGCGGCCTCTGGTGCCCGGACAAAAAGTGTCCACGCCGACGGCGTGAAGACGAGCAGGCATTATGGGAACGATAATTGCAATATACATGTGGCTCGCCCCCCCCTCACCCCCAAACCCAAAGTTGAAGTGTCCAGATTTTGTCCCCCGCGCGTTGCCTCGCACCCAACCCCGTCAACTTTGGGTGGGGTGGGGGGGGGGCGGGGGCCATGGACATCTGTTCGACGCGGTTCGATGCCGTCTCATGTTGGCGCGATGGGTGTGGACACTGTTTGTCCACCCTCCGTCGTCTCTCGCTCTCGACGGCGGCTCCGCGTGTCTCCACGCCTGCGCGGTCCCAGGGGGCAGCCCCTGGGCGTCGGGACCCGGCGCCAAGGCTCCAGGCGCAGGCCAGGCCCGGGCGCGGCGACGACTGCCCTCCTCTCCACCTCCTCCTTAGGTCCTTGCCCTCCTCCTCCTCCTCCTCAACTTTCCTCCTCCTCCTCCACCTCCACTTTCCTCCCCCTCCTCCACCTCCTCCTTGCCCTTCTCCTTCCTCCTCCTTGCCCTCCTCCCTCTTCTTCACCTTCTCCTTGGCCTCCTCCTTGCCACTTCCTGCTCCTCCACCTCCTCCCAGGCCTCCTCCTCCGCCTCCTTCTTGCCGTCCTTATCCTGCGCCTCCTCCTTGCCTTTCTCCTCCACCACCTCCTCCTCGCTCTTCC